AGGATCTCTTTGACTAAAAAATTGTAGAGGGTCCTCCCAAACTTCTATAATTCCACACACATATTTCATTTAAAACTTTGGGGCCAATTATGCTGGATTCCTCCACCTCAAATTCTGTTATTCCTTTTGACAATCTAGGTTTTTTTTAACCTCAATGTGGATTTTCACAAAAATGTTATCCTCTCTGGCTTCTATGTGTCTCTTAAGATTAAGATTAACCTCCCTTCCCTCTGGTATAGTATCCTTATTAGAATCCATAATCATATCTTCCTTTTTTTTTAGTTTTGGGATGTTCTTGTTTTTCTCGCAAAACCTCTTTGTTTTTAGGGAAATTTTCCCTTTTATGTCCCTGTTGAACATCATCCTCTATTAGATTAGAAGAGACATTCAATGGGGATATCACAAGATTCTCACTCAAGATGCTCTTCTCACCTTCAGCTAAGACCTCTGTTCCTTTAACTTTACTACCACTAGATTCAATTGAGTTTAAGCCTGTTATTGATTGTTTACCTAAAGGTTAAGATCCTTAGACATAGATTTAACAGAGTTAATCCCCTCTAGTCTACCTGATTGAGTATCAAATGAAGGATTGATGTTCTATCTTCACTATGAATGTTCATGCCAGAACTACTCCTAGAACTTCTAGAATCATAAGGACTAAGAACACGAGCCCTTAGCCACTCTACAAATTGCCACAAGTTAAGCATATTTCTAGCCACATCCACTTTCTTAACATGACAAACGCTATCCCCATGCCCTATCCTACCACAGTAAAAATAAAATGTTTGGAGATTCTCATACCTGAAATCCACCCATTTATTTCTCTGAAGGATTGGTTTTGATAAACTGGTGTCTACCAGAGTTTTGACTATTCTTTCATTTAGGCTATTAGCACCCGACAAAAATAACATAAACAACCTTCCCCACCATCCTTCCTATCTTTAGACCTGACTCTACCGAGATTCAATGTAGGTGAAAAATTTTTATTCAGGCCCACAACTTTACTATTTCCACTTCAGGCCCACAACGTCCAGAGGCTAAGCTTGTAAGGCAGGCAAACGTCCAAATTGAAGCTCCACTGTGTAAACAAACGTCCAAAAACTAAGCTTATAAGGTAGGCAAACGTCTAACATGGAAGCTTCTCTTTGAAAACAAACGTACAGTAGCAATGCTTGGAAGTCAAGTAAACATCTAAATAGAAAGCCCGACTCTGAAGAGAAACGTCTAAATGATAAGGGGAAACACATTTAAAATTTTTAAATTGCAAGCTTATTATGCCGCTAAACGTCTAACAGAAAAGCTTGAGGCCAAGTGAAACGTCCAAGAGTTAAGCTCTAAAGCATACTAAACGTCCTACATTATAGCTCACCTATGAAAGCAAACGTCTAGAAGCTATGCTTGAAAGCCAGACAAACGTCCAAAATGGAAGATCGGCAGTGAAAGCAAACGTCCAAAAGAAAAGCTCTGAAGCCGAAGAAACGTTCAGAAGTGAAGCTTGTCGCCCTAACAAACGTCCAACTGCTAAACTTTGAAGCAAAACAAACGTCCCAGATAAAGCTCCACGAAAGCTTATGACTATTGGAGATCGAACAATAAGATTTATTTTATTTATTATTTCTAAATTCGATTCCACGGTCCGGGTCTCAGTTCAGTTTTGACCTACTAATAATAATAGAAATTACATTTATGTCCTAGAAAAAGTATTTTACTAACTTTTAGCTAAATTATTATTTTTACCTATCTCCTTCTTCTTCACATTTACCAAAATTCATATATTCATCAATCTCCTCCTTCCTCTTCATTAAAAATTAACCAACCAATCTTTACATTATTCTTTATACTCCACATGTCTATAATCCAACATCATCGGGGACACATGCAAATGAGGTACAATTATGTTAACCCCTAATTTTTTTTTTTACATTTATTTTCACTCACAAATAGATCTCTTGATTTTTGAGTGTTTGAGTTATTTTAGGACTTAGATCACTAAATCCTCTTCATATATGTTTCATTAAACCAATGTGAGGGGTTGATTAGTATGATAGAATGAATAGAGTGATAATAGATGTAGGATAGGGTTTAAGTTCGTTCAATAAACGTCCCAAGTAAAAGCTAGAACATAGACAAAACGTCTAATAGCTAAGCTTACAAAGGATGTAAATGTTTTATAGTAAAGCTACATGACCCCAGAAACGTTTAAAAGGGAAGCCCGACTGTTAAGAGAAATGTCCCGTTTGTAAGCTTGTATGTCTCTGAAACGTCTAATCCTAAAGCTTATAAGCACTTCAAACGTCTAAACTACAAGCTTGTTTTTCTGCAACTAAATTTTACAGTTTTCTTCATTTGATTCACTAAAAAATATGCACATCTACTTTGATTCACTAAAAAATGAGGTCATTTCTATTGGACTAATAGTTTAAGTGTGATCAATTCACAACTATGAAAATTGTTTGTAAACTAATAAAAAATTACGATTCTATTAAAATAGGTTCTATTAAAAAAAATATTTTGTCATTATTAAATATGATTACGATGTTATTGTTGAAATTATATTAAAAATAAGTGTATATTATAAAATAACAATTCTATATCTTTTTAAAGTTTTGTTGCATGGGTTGATGTTATGTTGATTATTGTAAGATATTTGGGAAAGTAGTGGGGTGATATGTGGAAAAAATCAAATTATTGTGGAAACATTCACGTTGGACGTTTCTGGATACATTAAGCTTTCCTTAAAGAAGATTGTTGTTGTCCTAAGCTTAGAAATCAGACGTTCCATAGGGACTTAAGTTTCCTGCTGGGATGTTTATTTAACTTCCACGCTTAGTTCCATGTTGGACTTTTGCTTGGCTACCAAGCATAACTTCTGGACGTTTGCTTTCATAGGCAACCTCCAATCAAGAACGTTTAGTATGCTATAAAGCTTAACTCTTGGACGTTTCACATGACCTCAAGCATTCCAGTTAGGTGTTTACTTGACTTCCAAGCTTTGTTACTGGACGTTTGTTTTCACAGTGAAGCTTCCATGTTAGACGTGTGCCTACCTTATAAGCGTAGCTTGTGGATGTTTGTTTACACAGTGGAGCTTCCATGTTGGACGTTTGCCTGCCTTACATGCTTAGCTTCTGGACGTTTCACATGGCCTCAAGCTTACAATTTAGACGTTTAGCGGCATAATAAGCTTGCAATGTAAAAGTTTTAAATGTGTTTTCCCTTCTCATTTAGTCGTTTCTCTTCAGAGTCGGGCTTCGTATTTGGATGTTTCCTTGGGTTCCAAGCTTAGCCTTAGACGTTTGTCTTCACAGTCGGGCTTCTTTGTTGGACGTTTCTTTGGCTGCCAAGCTTAGCTTCTAGTCTTTTCATTGGCTTCCAAGCTTAGTTAATAGACGTTTAAATGCATTTTTTTCAGTAACTTTTTTTTAACACAGGGATATTTTTGTAAATTTATCATTTTTTATTATTTTTTTCGAGTGACAAGTAATAATTTGGGGCGACAAATAGCAATCCTGTAAAAATATTATTATAAAATTGATAATAAGTATCATCCTATTATTCGAGTAAGATATTGTTATAAAATTGATAACAAATATTAGTCCTATAATCCGATGATAGCTAGTTATATTTTTCTTGAGTTTGTCTATTTTTTTCTAAAGTTTTAAAATGTATACACACTACTAAGATACACTGTCGTACATCTTAGTCCATCACATAATCTCCTAAAATGGTATCTAAAAGTTGCAGAAACACCCAACAATTTGAGAAATTTGTGAAAATTGTTTTAAGAATACCCAACTAATTATATTTCAAAATAAATAAGAAAGATAAATTATATTTTTAAAATATTTTAAATCACTTTTGATAAATATTTAATATATTAATTATTTTATTTCATAAAAAAATTATAAGTTCAACATAAATAAAAATGATAAAATATGTTGACGTCTTTATAACTAATTTTACATATTAACATAATCAACTGATTAAAACATCTGATATAATCGGTGGTAACAAACACTCATTAGTTGCAAAACACTGTTGCAACTTGCAACTAGTAGTAAATAGTAAATAGTAGACTAATAAAAGATAGGGAAATGCTACAATCCCGTTACGGAACTATTCCGTCGGAATTTGTAACGGTTAAATCATCATGTAACCATCGTGAATAGTTGATCTAACGGCTCAAACCCCGACGGAATGATTCCGTAACGGGACCTTAGAATCTAAAAAAAGATATAGATTTATCTAAGTAAATTTCTATTTACCGCCTCCTTTTACTACTCACCGCCTCCCCCCCCTCCAATTACGTTTTTGCCCTTCACTCTCTCTCTCTCTACTCTCTCTCTCTCTCTACTCTTTTCCTCTCGACTTTCTACGGCTCTTTTGACCGTCAAAAAAATTTCGAAAAAATGCTAAAAAAATACCATGACATCGGCAAGACATTGAAGATTGACCATGTTTTTTTTT